TTAAGCTACCCGGTCTGTGGTGACTGCCGACACAGCAATAGGAAACTCACACCAGAGAAAACGCCAAGCGCAAACAGAAAAAGGGAGAGAGAGTTATTTTGTGAATGTGCCAGTGGGAGGATTACTCTTATGCTTCAAGTTGGTTTCATTGTGGTCCTCCTCCTCCACTGCCCGGGCCGGCAAGTCAGCTTGTCACAGGACACTGGGGACATCAGCAGGATCACCATGGTAGACAGACCAGGGCTCCCGTGAGAAGGTTAGAAGCCAGTTTTTTTCTCCTCGCCACTCAGTGAGTTGGTTTCAAAAACAGCTAAGGACAGACAAGACGGGCAGAGGCACTTCCCTTTGGGGCACTCTAGGACCCATTTTAGGTCCCAATTCTCATCTGATTTAGGAACATTTTTCGTGTTCTAGTGTTGCTCAAGTTTGTTCTCACTTAAGATCACGATGGGATGAGGGGTTAAGAGCAGCCTCACCATCACGAAGGCCACTTGGCCCAAAACTGTCCAAACAGCAGGTTAAGGTGACCCTCACCTTTGTTCTGCCACTTCAGCGGTCACAGGCAGTGGCTCCCCCAGCCAGGGAGAGGAGCCTTCAGGTCTCCACACCTGGGGACACCGGCCTCTGCGGAGGCAAACTGGTCTCATTCCAGAGAGACCACTGCTCCCGCGCCTGGCTGCCCTTTGCACTCACTGTCATGGAGCCGATGTCGACTCACAGTGACCCTGTAGCACAGCGGAGGACTGCCCTGCGCACTTCCCAGACTCATTCTCTACAGGAGCAGAAAGCGGCTTGGTAATTTCAAATTGCTGACCTATGCTGCGCAGAACATCGCGTGGCCGCTCTGCCTCCAGGAGAGATGGCCGGAAGAGCAGAGTGCTTATAAAAACAAGCAGCCAGACAGCGGACCCTCGGGGGCTTCTCTGGGGGGAGATAAAAATGCTGTCTGCACAGCCCACGGGAACTGAGAAGCTCTGAATACAGGGAAGCCCTGCTGAGGCGCTACAGCTGGGTGAACGCAGACTGGCTGGCCCATTTCAACTACCTG